AAAAATTTGTGGACTATAATTAAACATCCATTATGTAATTGAGATCAGCATACGTGGGAGGGCTTCAAATTTCTTTTAGGGGATGCAGACACTTAAGGTAGTCATTTCGTTTCCAAATATTGGTGGTTGGTGGGAACCGGGATTCCGGAATGAGTTCATAAACAACATGAGCTCATCGAGCTCAAGGAATTTCTAATACTGCCTATTAGAGTCATCTAATGAATTTGGAGGCCCCGTTCAAAATGCAAATTTGAGGCCTTGTTTTAATATAAAAAACTAAAAAAATATTCTTGGTCTAAATTTTTATTATACTCAAATCAATTGAATACTTATTAAATAATGCAATTAAAAATTACATGTAGTAATTTTCCACATTAAAATAATTAATCTCTACATCTTTTGAATTGCAAAGTGTTTCAATTTATGAGTGCATTATTATACAGAGTAATGGAGTATGGATTTAGCTACAACCCATATTCATATAAGATAGTATACACTATTATATTATATTATATTATATTATATTATATTATATTATATTATATTATATTATATTATATTATATTATATTATATTATATTATATTATATTATATTATATTATATTATATTATATTATATTATATTATATTATATTATATTATATTATATTATATTATATTATATTATATTATATTATATTATATTATATTATATTATATTATATTATATTATATTATATTATATTATATTATATTATATTATATTATATTATATTATATTATATTATATTATATTATATTATATCATTAATTTATATTAGTGACCTAAAAATAATACTACTAGTGTCTTATAAATATTGGGGGCCCATCGAAAGTGTGACCCTGTTCTGTTTAACCTAATTAACATGCTAAAAGACGGTCCTGCTGCCTATCTTAAAAAACTAGGAATCATAGTTATGATCAGTGGCAAACGCGGGAATTTCCGTTGGGCTAGGACGGACTGTAGTGTAAAAAACATACAAAACATTTATATTAAAATTTTGGAGTAAATATACCTAGTAGAAAAAAAATTGGGGGGAAAGTAAAAACCTTTATGAACGGAACACAGTGAGGATTGTGAGTTTTCATTCTGTTGATATATGATTGAATTGTTGAAATGTGATATGAATTTATTGAATTGCTTATATATATGTGGAGTATGATTCTTTGAAATGTGACATGATTCATTGAAATGTGATATGATTCTTTGAAATGTTTCTGGCTTCTTTGAGCTGCCTATATATGTATTTATGAGAGAATTTGAATAGACTTAATGAACGACTTGTATGCTTAAATTAGCCTATGTAGTGACCTTACAAACAGCGTTGTGGATGAGGGCGTGCAAGAAGTGCTACTGCACAAGGCCCCTCGATTTAGAAGACCCAAAAATTTAAATATAATCTACATAACATACAAAATCCTTATTTAATTGATTAAAGATTCCTATCTTAGTATTTAAAAAAAAAATACAAACACTAAATAGTAGTAATGTTTAGATGTAATTAAAATGCAAATGTTAATTACAATTGTGAAACTTCTTTATTATATAAGACCTAGATAAAGTAATTAGCACACATACCTTGTAGAGTTTGGAACGAGCTTGCATACTACTTTCTCTTTCATACTTTATCATTAATTTACTCTTCTTAATATATTATTTTTGCCTACTTTTTCATTTACCTAACATCTTTATACTATCCCTACTATTTTCTTCTTAAAAACAACAAAAATCCTAAGGAGACTTATTTAAAAATAGTGAGAGTATTAATATTGTGTTTTATACTTCAGGGTCTCATATTCAATTTTGAACAAGACCTTTTATATGTCGGGGCCGGTCCTACTTACGAGTTACGAATACCTTAGAACTTTGGAGACCCCAACTAGACAAAATGGTAAAAATCCGTTTCATCGAAAGGCCAAAATGCAACTTGAGAAACCAAAGGTGACATGAGCATACGTATCCTAAGTTGTTTAGTTAAAGTATGATATATTGACTGAAAGCTCTCTTTTTAAAGAGGGTAGACTATTATCTATTAGAGCATCTCCAATACTACAATGTGCACGGTGCACATGTGGAATGAGAGGGATAGACACAAAAAATTGAATTTATGACATTTCTCTCGCATTCTTTCCACGGTTTTATGTGCTTTTGGTAAGTTTCCCCCTGCAATGTCAAACACAATGTCTACATCTAGACATTGTGCTTGACATTGTGAAGAAAAACTTATCAAAATGATACAAGATCCTTCAAATAAGGAGAGAGATATTCTTTTTATTATTTTCTAATTGGCTATCTCTCATGCTACATATGCACTATTCACATTTTAGCATTGGAGATGCTCTAATGTGTATCTAAAGTCATACTCCATCCGTCCCATTTTACTTGTCCTACTTTCCGTTTTGGGTTGTCCCAAAATAAGTCTCTACTTTCCATTTCACTTTATTTTACTCAAACCTCAATCACAACTTTTACTTTTTCAACCACTTCAATAATAACCGTGCCAAGTCAAACTAAGACACATAAAATGGGACGGAAGTAGTATGTCTTTAGTATTGAATGTATACTCGAGCTTAGGGGTGCAAACGAGCCGAGCCGAGCCCGAGCATGCTCATGCTTGAGCTTGAGCTTGATAAGAATTCACAAGCTCGAACTCGATCTCGAGCTTGGACGAGTTAAATAATTCAAGTTCGATCTCAAGCTGAGCTCGGCTCGAGTTCCTTTCAATCTTGATTGGAGCTTGGGTCGAGTTTCCCTAATTAATTTTTATAGGTTTGAACTCGAATAAGATGCTCGAACTCGAGCTAAACATATTATATGTGTACTTATTCATTTTCTTTTTTAGTTTATCTCTCATTTACTAACATTTTTATTCTTTATTTTACTGTCAATAAATATTAAGAGTACATATTATAATTATTACAGATTATGATTATAATAATACTATGAACATGTTAATATTTTTGTAATTATTACTATTAGAATATACTCTGTGATAAGTATTGGAAATGAAATAGTCCTAAATTAGAAAATATATTTCAAAAAAAGTATATATAATTATTACATATATATTTATTTTATATAAAATATGACACAGAGACTCTCGAGCCACGAGTCTAAAATAAATAACTTTGAATTGAACTTGTTAACTATTTGAGTCGAGCCGAACTCGAGTCGAGCTTAATATGACCGAACTCGAGTCAAGCTTTTCCCGATCAATCTACAAGCAGCTGGCGAGCGGCTTTGCTCATTTACACCCCTACTCGAGCTTATGCTTCGAGGACAAAACATCTTTTAAGTAGGGTAGAATGTCAGAATGTGACACTCCGAAAAATTATAATAAAATGAAATCAATAATTTTGTTAATGAGGTAAAATTAAATGAGTAATAGGTAATATTTGGAAAATGAATAGAATAGATATTCATCAACACAAAAAGGAAATAAACAATTTCTATTAGATAAAAATCATGGGTGGGGATTAAATAAATTTTAATATATTTTTTAATGAATTGTTGATGCATAGTTTAGATCCATCCATCATTATTAAAGGGGTGTTTGGTCTCTTTTTTAAAACTTAAGACTTGGACCCGGTTCGGGCCGCCCGGCCCAGGACCGGCCCGGCCCGCCACTGTGCGGGCCCGGAACCGGCCTGGTTCTCGGGTCCGGGTCCGGGTCAGGCCTAGGCCCGGTGGGGGGGCGGGCCCGGGCTCGGGCCCTGTATTTGGCGAACCGGCCCGAACCGGCCCGGGGCCATCCCTGTCTTTTAGAAGACAAAAAAAAGATATTGGAGTGTTCGAGTGAAAATGCAGAATACTTTTTAGTCTTTCAAATTACTCAGAAGCAACTTTTGGGAAAGAGGACGCCAACTTTTGAAAACTGATTATGATCGTACTTTTACTTTGGAAAAAAAAAAGCAAAATCAATTCCAAATGCACTCTTATTCAAACAATAAAAAATATTCAATACTCCACATAATTACTTATTCACTTGGCTGGAGGCCGCAGCACCACACTAGTAACTAATTAAGTAATTAACTACATTGCATGAATGAATCATATCTCATGCATCTCATTTTCATAACATGTTAAATCATACGTCGTATAAACTGGCAAGCTCTTGGATGAATGACTCCATTCACTGGTGTAGCGAGAAGTCAAGGACTAAGGGCAGTATCAAGGTAGTCAAAGTCGTGAGGCGCACTCAAGGCGCTAGAGTATTTATATCACCTGAGGCACAAGGCGCAAAAAAGCGCTCGCCTGACTCATGTCAAATGCACTATGTAGAAAATATTATGTATACTATTCTAGGGTGATCAAATATGACATATTCAACATCATATTGAACTAAATGCATTAAAAAGTCATGTCTCTCAATAGCTGGTTTTGAGGTTTGAGGATTGGGGTAGCATAAATTGTGTAGTGTATGAAACTATTAATTAATTTAGATTATATGAAGTTTAATAAAATTATAATATGAACTGATAATAAGAAGATAACTATAGTTATAGACTGCATATAAAGTATAGAAGATATAAGAAGCAAAGAGAGCTATAAAGTGTAGAATATATAAGAAGCAAAGAGAACTATAAATTATAGAATATATAAGCAAAGAGAAATATAATATGTTTGAGTTGTATAAAATATATAAGAATAAAAGAGAACTATAGAAGTAAAGGATGAAGATAGACTGAAAGAATAAAAAAGAAAGGATCAATGAAGATGACAAAATAAATGAAAACTATAATCTGAAAAAGAAAAATGAAAGAACATGGGAAGATGATGAAAAGAAAGACACTTTATGGGTTTCTGACTTCTGTGGGTTGATCATTGAATGTTGTTTCAACGCTGAACTAGTTGCACGAGTAGAGCATAGCAGAGTAACGATGAAGTCACGCTATAGAAGTTATTTTACCGTGACTTAGAAGTTAGAAGTTAGAAGGGCTTAACATGGGTTTAAGTTATTTTGACCTGTTATTTGAATGGGCTAAATCTTATTATAAGTATGGGCTTGTTATTTAAAGTAGGACCAAACAAATAAATAGGCCGCTACTCCTTTCCCAGGCCAGGCGACTGAAGCGTGCGCTTTTTTGCGCTTACGGCTTTCACCGCTTCTACGCTTATTGCGCCTCACTTGCGCTTCACTCAGTTGGCTGCGCCTGGGACTCTAACAGTCGCTGACTCTCATATGTGTCTCGCTTGGTGCGCTTAAGCGCTCAGGCGCGCGCTTTTGACTACCCTGGGCAGTATATTGGACTGGTATAAAAAAAATCTTTTCGATGTTTTACACGGTTTTTTCACCCTACTAATTTAAATAAAATTGAAATTTGGTGTGGGCCAGGCCAACGATGTCTCTCAATCCTAGCTACGCCCCTGACTTCATTGACACCACACTCCATACTTCTCCGTCCATAATGACAAAACGAGACCTTGTTGAATCATAATTGGCAAGCTTATGGATCCCTGTTCTAAAGCTAACCGGCCTCCTTGGATTAGAGATGAAATGAGTAAATGGGTGGTGGGGGTTATGCTGGGCAGAGGGCATCACACAATGATTTGTACGCTGTAACACAACACTTGAATTTCTCTTCTGCAGCAGCCTGTAAACAGTAAAGTAGTGGCATATGACGGAGGAAAAAGCAGGCCATGAGAAATAATCTAAGTTACCCATATTTATTTAAGTTAACAATGTTTATTCGAGTAAATTTATGGAGCCTCATATGACTCCCACTGACATAATGGAGTCATGACTGCTGTGACTTCATCAATGCCATATATTTTCATGGCGAGGTCCATCCATTATCAACTCATTTTAAAAATGAACAGTTATAATGAAGGCATGAAGCTATGTTTGCCCATATGAGTATATGACTCCATAGTGGAGTCATATGGGACTCCATAGTGGAGTCATATGGGACTTTATAAAATTTTTGATGTGAAGTCATCTCAAATTGTACAATATAAAAATAAAAATTACAAACCAACAAATAAGGCTCGCTTGGTAACACTAAAATTAACTGAATTTGTTGAAATTTATGAAATTTTGGTTGAAGTGAGTGCATTGGCTGAATCATGAAAATTACTTATTTTGATTATTTGTCAATTCAGTGCACAAAGTCAAAACCTACGTGTTTGGTAAAAATTTGACTGATAAGCTGAACCAAACGGGCTCATAATGTCTAATGACATGTTCACTTTGGACTTATTTAGTCACATTCAAGACTAGACTTGATCTCATTAAAATAATAATATGATACACTACACATAATATTTAGTCGGGGAAAACTGTCAAATAGGTCCTCAAACTTTCATAAAAAGGTCAAATAAGTCCTTATATAGGAGGCTCTGTCCGGCCGTCGCGATTTGAGGCGATTTCCGGTGGAATTTTTTGATGAATTTTTTTTAGCATCTTATTCATCAAGTCTAATTTACTCATACCAAATTCCAGTTAAAAGTTCAATCGGGAACGCATTCAAATTAATTCTTGAAGATAACTGCGCATTTAACTGCACAGTTAAATGCAGTTAAATGAACATGCTGCTCTTCTTATAAGGTTAATATTTTGTGATAGATTTCTAAATCTTAATACAATATGAACATACATGATTAAAAAGAAGGGTGGGGGTGGGGGTGGGAGATTTGTTATATGAATACAAGCTGACCTGTGAAGGACCTTGGTGCTTATCAGGATGCCACTTTAAAGCTGAGAGGCGAAAACTACATCAAGACAGCACCCCTCAAATTTAGTGCTCTCTTACAAAAAAAAACTTGAAATCCTGATTTATGAAAGTAAGAAAGATGTTTTTTAAACAACTTACGCATTCTTGACATCCTCAATCTTCAAAGGGCCCCTTACAGGAAGACCTAGAATTGATCGTTCAGAGTATGACCCTACAATATAAGACTCACTAATGCTATGATTGCTGTCTGAACTATAGTGATTGCTTTGCTGTCTGGCATTCCATTCCCTCATTTCTTCTTCATGGTGAACTCGAGTTTTTTTACCATCAAATGAAAATTCCTTCCATGGCTTGTAAGACCACGTGTACGATTTGTCACCAAAGGTTGCTCGAAATATTTTCTCTGGATGTTCATCATCATAATCGTCTTCATATAAACACTGTTTCTTCAGTTTACCTAAAAATGTACCAAAAGGACTGAACTGGTCAGCAGGCAGAGTAGCCAGGCACACATCTTATCTTCAATATAACTCAATCTAATTATGTGTGCAAGTTTGCAAAACACGCTTAAACCCTTAAAGTACATTACTATTTCCCCACCAATACCCAATAAAGATAGTTAGGAAATAGTTAACTTTTCACAGAATTGACACATTTTCCTTACTTTTATTTAATATTTAGAAAAGTGGAAGTAAATCAAGTAAATATTTGCAACTACACTCTACAATTTTTTGTAGAAAATCTATACTAATCAAGACTTGATCATGAGTAACTTTTAGGGGGGTTGCTTACTTTTTTTCCATGAACTTGTGTCTCTGGATTAAATAGTACTTTGCAAAAGGCAGTTTACGTTGTATGCTGCATAAACAGTTTGAATTGAATTAATAACCAAATTAAGATTACTTTTGTAGTTTTGTGTTGCTTTGTCAATTAGTAAGCCCACTTATTAATATGCATCTATTCCACCATGATTTCTTGAGAGAAATTGGCTGAATAGGCGTGAGAATGGGAAGAATAAATAATCTATTAGAAGTGAATGATTTAACTCAAATTTTGGCAGAAAGAATAAGTTGTGCTTCCGCTCAAGTCAAAAGTAACACAGGTTAGTGTTTAAAGAATTAGATAACTATCCTGGTTATGCTCATTAAGTCACAAGTAAACAATTCCTGTCCAAGTTCATATAAATTAATAAAAGAGCATGACAAAAGAGACTGCAGAAAAAAAGTGAAATAGGACACTATTTGTGAAGAGGCATAAAGTTCTTAAGGAGCTTGAAGAAACAAAAAATTACGCTGCCTTCTCCTCAAGCGAGTCCTACTACGAGCTGAACTCTTGAGTTCACATTTCTTGTCTAAAGGGTCATCATTTTGCTGTACATTCCATCTCACATTTTCTACCGGATATTTTTCCTAGGCAAACCGAAAAAGAAAAATTAGCATTTCCTTTCAACATTAACTTTTACAATATGGAAAAGATAAACTGTATTGAGCATGGCCAAAACTATGTCTATAAGTGAACGTGGCACATAGAATGGGTGAGGTGACATGCAAAATGATTGAACGACTGAAAGTTAATAGTAACATTTACTCAATAGAGGTAATACCAAAACAAACAAATAGGGTATTACAAACAGTCGTGAAAGCCCGTATTGTACAGACCACGGGGAAGGTTTTGGTGGTAAAGCAACACATATGTGTATAAAGATGATATTGGGTGAAGAAACAAACCAACTGGAACATGCTATACATTAAGAAGACAAATACAAAAGAACCAGTTACCTCAAGATAGTTATCGATGGAGCCCCCATAAAAGAGCAGATCTTTCAAAGCTTTCCTCGAGTCTGCACGTTTTTGACGTACTGCATACCTGATAGCATTCTGTATTCCCAAAGATGCTCAAGTTTCAGTATCATTTCATTTTAAGGTCAAATATCTCAATAGTAGAACGGCGAGGCAGCTAATCATGATAGGAAAGATTGGAAGAAAACGTTTTGTGCTTATATGTTTTAAGCCCAAAAGATATGAAAAACACATATACGAAGTATTTGTTTTGGATTTTCTTTATATAGTATTTGTTATAAACCACCACTTCTCTTAATGTGTGCAAAAGTGTGGAGTTTCAAATTTGTTTAAATATCTTTATCTGTGCTTTACTTAATCATGGCAGTTCACATATGGAATAAATCCAAGCAAGGCTATCAACAATAAGGTATGACTCTTTTTCGACATTGGATCTTCTTCATAAAGAAGCATTTTCTGCTACACTGACCTAAACCCTACATCTGGAATAGATAAATAGCAAGACTGAACTGAACACACACCTACAATTCAGGTTAAGCAACACTAGTATAGTAGTATATGACTTGTGAAAATTAATTTATGCAACCACAAATTAAACTTAGAGATATCCCTGGTAGTCTAGTAAAAAAGAGAATACATACTTTGTTTGACTTTGGCGGCTGTTGATTTCCTCTGAAATCCTGCGCAGAAATAATTTAGCTAACATTCAGTAAGGGAATGCAATCTTTTACTTCTTTGAACAGACAATGGCTGCGAGTACAAACTACGAACAATAAGAGAGTCTTAAAACAGAAATTGTTATTGAAAAAATAGATCCCAAATCAATAATGAAAATGAATAAAAACAAATAAATGGGAGATATGGGAAATAATACTCCGTAGTGCGTTTCATTCATGAAGGCAGCAAGATGGTTCTCACTAAATTATATTGTACGAAGACTATAAGCCAGCATACATTTTATAGAACTTAATGCAAAGGTCAAGGTCCAAAGAAAATGAAAACTTTGATTCCTACTTGAAACTACATAGTTAATGCATAGAGTCCATTTTAAGAGGTTAAACATATAAGAAGTATCCGAAATATGTTATATCTTAGTTTGTTGCTATAAACATAACCAATGTGGGTATACACTTCAATACCCTATGGTACAGCGAGCGTGCACCCATCACAGCCTAGTACCTCGTCTCTACCGAGCAATTTCTTTCTCTCAGAGGTGCACAGTGCACACACTCTCAAGGTTTTGAAAGGCGAACGACTTGAACTCATTTGAAAAACGCGTTGAAACTCTATTCACACTCCATCTTGACTGTATCATATTTTCTTGAAAATTCATTCAACCCTCTTAGCCCTACACCTCATCGGGACAACTTTATTTCCCATCCAAACCCACACAATGACTACAGATCAAGTTGATTTTGACACCCTATGAACACTTGATATTTTTACCAATTGTTTTATACGTTGGTATGTGATATAATGCTCCCTATTGTATTTAGCCTATGTAAGACATACTCATCAAACCTACACGTATAAATCATACTAATTGGAGCTTTTCTAATCTGCACATTCATGTGCAATAAAATCCTCTTTAGCCAAACATTCATTCAACCCTCTTAGCACATTCATATTGCTAAAAAGCTAGTTAACACTATGGCTCTATCTGATGAATTAACTAGTAGTAGGTTGACTATCTCTGAACTTATTTAACACTTCACTGCAAATTATGCCGTGTCGTGCATAAATTTAGCACTTCAAAGATGCATTTTTATACTTAGTTGTTTCACTGGTTTATGCAAATATACAGAGTCCAAGATTCAGCCTTTTCTGTTTATCATACTGCCCACGAAGTAAAATAATCCGAAATAAATACTCCGTAATTCCAAAAGAGTAGACCGAAAATCAAACAAAAAAATGAATCTGGGACAAGTCAAATAAAAGTACATGTTTTTTTGTTTAATTTCTACCATTTTGGAAAAAATAAATAGTGCAATGAGCTTACGGACTCCCACTTGCTCTTCCGCTTCTCCAACCAGATCGGAGTAGAATGGAAGCAGGCAGAATAGGTCGCAGATGATTCAGAGGCTGCTGCTATTTTCGTGGACAGGAGAATCAAAATTGAGTCTTTCTGCCATCTGCGCATTGCCTGCATCATCTTCTTGGAAGTGTGGAAATTCTAAATGAATAGATGAATTTCATTCAAAAATTTAGAATAGGAATAACAGGGTGGGAGTGTGGCGCTGGCTGGAGACAGTCGCTGGAGGCTTTTTCTTCCCGTCTTCGCCCTACGGTATTCTGCACTCCTATATTTCCTTCCACCTTTCGCAGTTCAAAGCTTGAGACTTAGGTATGTTTGAAAAGTGATTAAATAAAAGTCGGTAGTGTTTGAGAAAAACGTGATTTTGAAAAATAAAAGTGGGTAGTGTTTGGTAAAATAAGTGTTTTTTGTGTAATAGAAAATGTAAAAGCACTTTTGACGCGGAAGCCGAAAAAAATAAAAGGTGTAGTGTTTGGGAAAATAAGTGTTTTTTTAAAGCCAAAAAGTTGAAAACAGAGCCTTAGCAGTTCAAAGTTTCGGATCCTGGGCTATGTAGTATTGTGGGACTGGGCTGTCTACACATGCCCAGGGCCGGCGTGAATCCACCAGTTCTTTGAGAAAACAAAGCAACTTCACACTTAACTCGAACAAGGGTAATTCTATTCACAACCCTTATTTTACTATTCACAGTCACAAAAATATCAAATATCCAAATTACCCTTTATCATTTGATTTAATATAACAAGATAACGATGTATCCCTTGTTGGCTTGCTCCCCACACCTAATTCTACGAAGAAACTATCTATCGCACTCCCTTCCCTCCTCCTTGTGTCGCTGCAAGAAGACGTATGTGTGCACATCAAGTAGTAGAGCCAAAAACAAGATCTAAGTAGAATTCCGGAAGAAACTTAAGCAAGCATGATATTCATATTACTCTTCACAAGGCCGCAAAGCAGGAGAAACTACTTAATTATATCCGAGAAGCAAAGTTAATTCGAAATATCAGAACAATTTATACTTACATTCATACATTCTAATCATTTAAGAGATCAGAAATTTCATATTTCATAATGGTGCACAATTCATTCTCAATTTAAAAACGAAAAACCAATAACTCATGGATCATCATCATTTGCTCCCCCTAAATTGAGCCATACTTGCAGATTGCAGAAAAGTCCAATTGCGGCAAAGGTGAGGCACTTCCTCAAAAGAAGTCAAACTGGTTTCAGTTACAAATAGCAGAGAAAAGAGAAATTTAGCTTTTTTATAGAAAGATAAAATAACAACAATAATCGGTCTCTGCAGTTGGAATCGGATGAAGATCAAACTGTGCGTCATTTACTTGTTCGCTGATTCGCCAACTTGCTGGCTGTCGATATATCCATAGAATCGTCCACCTGTGTGACGTTTAGACTTGTTGGAGGCAGATATATGTATAGTCGGATTACTCGGATAGATATTTGCCTTCAGCTTCTTCATCTTTGTGGAATGTTCAGACACAAGCAACAGGATGTCAGGATATGTGAGTTGGAACTCTAAAAACACTCACTCGGGCTTCGTTTAACAATAAGGGCATAACAGGGTTTATAAAATTGTGTGTGTGATTAGTAATAAGGGGCTGTGCATAGGACCCTCGAAAAAGATGACCTCACATTAACTTGCGACCTCAACGCCTAATGTATTTTGGTCCATCGGACCATCCCAATCTCCGTGCTCTCATAATTGTTTAAAAAGAATTTGGGTTTACTTCTATTTTATTTGTGGAATACATTAATTTAAAAATTCTTTTTTTGATAGTAGATTTTTTGAAGTATTTGAAAAGTGATTAATGAATAGTAGTGGTTGAATAAAAATGATTTTTAAAAAGTACTCGTACAAGTTAAAACATTTGGTAAGAGTATTTTTGGTGTAATAGAAAAAAAGTATTTTAAAATACATCCCCATTTGTTTTCAACTTTTAATTTTAAAAAACTTAATTTGAATCGAATCAATTATTTAAGAATACCATTTTTTTTTATTTTTTTTATGTTAAATTTGAAAAATATAGCTTGAATTTGCAATGTCAGTATGTGAGCCTGCGAGTGTCTAAGGGCCTCTCAAAATCGGTGCCTCCATTTTATTTAAAAAGGGTGTCAGTCCAATTTAATACTCCCTCCGTATCAAATTAACTGACCCGCTTTCCTTTTCGGGACGTATCAAATTAAAAGTCCCATTTCTATTTTTAGACATGGACCCCACCACCTTTTAACTTCTCATCATTACATTTTTACATTTTATTTTTTTTCTCCACTTATCCCATTATTCCTCCCCATTAAATCCCCATCCCACCCAACCATAAATCCCTATCCGCCCCACCTTCCCCATTAATTCGGCCATTATCACCCCCCCATTTCTCGAAGCATCCGTCTCTCCCTCTCTCTCTTGTTCAAACCTTCTCTCTGTTTCTCCGGTTTCTCTGGTTTCTCTCTATCTCTCCGTCGGTCTGGGTTATTGCCTCTTTGGTTGTCCATCTGGTTTATCTCGACCGCCCAACCCCTCCTCACAACCCTCCTCTCCATTCCTAATCTGTTGTCTGCCACCTTATTTCTGAGCTACCAATCCATCGCTCCTTTGCATGGATCCGTATGAGTCTGATTCTGAACTGATACTGCTTGATCAAAGGCTTAATGAAGGATGTCCATCACCTCCTTCAGAGAAATCGAAGGAAGGCCCTGTTCTGAGTAATGTGCCCATTCGCCTAGCGGATCCGGTGCCCGTTTCTGATTTGGATTCCCGAAGCACCGATTGTCCAGGCTGGACAACCTCTTCAGAAACTGACCCAGGCTGGCCTCTCCGGAGATTATTCGGTCCGATTTGGTGGATTCAAGCTCTTCTGGGTTTGGCGACACAGATTCCGGTGAAGAGGAGGTGAACTCGAAGGAAAGGGTTGTTCCATGGGATGAAATTCGTCTGGATATTCCGTAAGGGATGTATTCCTAATCTCTACTTTAATTTGTGCTTTGGTTGTGTGTATTCTGTATTCTGTAGTCCTACTCGTGTTTTGCATTATCTAAACCTGGTTATTGTTGATTTACTCCATTGTTATTAATGACATCATTCTAAAATTCTTAAATTACTTCATTCATTGTGACCAAATTGTGGGCTTATACACTGTTACATCAAAAAATAAAGACCTACTCCTCTATGCAAAAATATGGAGTATTTATGCATGGCCTTGCAAAAAATTGTTTTAAACCATACTTCATGTAACACCGGACCCGAATTTTACCCAGATAAAATTTTTTCGTAAAGTACTTGGTTAAAGAAGGTAAATCAAGACTAAGAGTAGTCTTGATAAATGAGAAAGTAAAAATTTTGTCTTAAATTAATAAAGGGTTATTAATTTAAACGTGGGACCACACGTGGTATTTCAAGTTTATAAAATATTACTATTTTCCAAAACGATACTATTATGATAGTAGGAATGGGTCGTGGACCCCATTGTTATAAAGATCGACAACTGGACGGCCGAGCGGGCCAGGGCCACTATTCGATAGTGAGGAGTCCTTAATTATCGGACTGTCAATAATTCGTAGGACTACGAATTTATAACAGAAGAAATATAAACATTCTAAGAAACCAAAATAATGGGATGAATAATATTGATTAAATTGACATATTAGAGGTGGGTACTTTTGGAGGACCCTACCTTGAAGATATTTTCGTATAAGAATAAACAGATAAGATGTTATCTGTTCATACAGTTCGGGCCACTTAAAAATAAGTGTAACATTTTATTAAAGTGTCACCAAATATGAAACCACATATTATGTAATGAGAAATGACGAGTGAATTTTCGAGGCAACGCGTTCTCATTTTTACTGTTACTTCAACAGTAAAATACACGTTGGGCCCACACGTGGGCGGCGACCATCCGATATTTGAGGACCACATAATATATTCATCTCGGTCTAGATACTATTTATATGATGGTGTAAATTAATGTTGAGCCATAAAGTTGGCCTTTCGATCAAACAAGGTCCCATTATCGGTATAGTTAGTTAATCAGATAACAACCCGAAATAAATTCCGGGGACCATTAAATTGAAGTTGGGTAATATATATTCATTTTAGAGTCCAATATTAATTGGAAGAATGATATATATTTTACTTAACCCGATAAAATAAAATATAATTAAAACAGTCCGAAAAATACAACTTTCGGGACCAATTGTACACTTTGGGACATAAAGGGATGACCTCCCACATGGGTGGGGGACACCCCACGACTTATGGTCTCAAATAAGTGAGGAGGACCATGTTGGAGAGCTGGAAATGAATTGAGATGATGGGGGGATTAATCAAGTCATCAAATGAACTTCTCCCCCACACCATTCACACATGAAAGACAACAAGGACATCTCACTCACCCACCATCCTATTATTTCGGCCCTAGCATCAATTAGGGAGGAAAGGAGTCTCAAAAACATCATCTCCACCAGCTCTACTCGAGCTAAGAACAAGGGGAAAGAAGGAAGCAAGAAGAGAGGAGGCTGCCAACCAGTTCGTACAATTTCAACCCTCGAGATTGTTCACTTCATATCTCACGCATCTCTTATCCAATGAGCTCGAGTAAGGTGTCATTAGATAGGTCTTGAAGAGAGCTTTCATACTAGGTGCTGCACTTAAGGATACGAGGTGTTTACAGCTCAAAAAGGGCAGATAAACACACGAGGTATAAATCTGGATTCTCAAAACAGTTTGTATTTGGTTTCTAGTTATTACCCAAAATTGTTTATAAACCCTATTAACGAATAAAGTGGATATCCTACACGATTATAAGTGTAGTATAAGACCTTAATATAGTAATTTAATCATCCAAAGGGTTGGCTAATAACCATGAACGGAGTTATGACCGGAGTAAGACCGGTTCACCGGAAAACACCTTCTCGGAAAGTTTTGATGTTTATACCACTTTTGGTTTATGAAACCTTGTTAGGTCTTTTACCAAGATATTCTAGACTTCTCGAGGAATCTAGGAGTGGCCGGAAAAGTCGCCGGAGCCGCCGGAGTTTTCGCCGGAAAATTCAAAAGTCGCCGGAGTTCGAACAAAGAAGATAAAAGCTTGCTAGCGTCATTTCAAGGTGAGTGGACGACTACGTGTCTTGTAACTCTTGGGTCAAACGTGGGATTACCTAAATAAAATCCTTATCATGATTTGAGGAATGATTAAATGGATTAAATGCATGATTAGTCATGGGGAATATGAATTATGGAAATATTACATGATTAATGAATAAG